GGGAAAGATTGGATAGAAAAGTTAAAAATCCTAAGTTAGAAATAAAATCATTGCTTAAAAAATAACCACTACTATTATATCTTGATCGACTAATTGACGACTTGAATGCATTAAAAATTGTCATAGAATCTACAAACAGTTTGAAGTGTTATTAATATTTAGACATAATTGAAAATTGTAAAACAATACTTTCTAGGTTTACATCCATGGTCTGACAATGAGAAAGAAATGAAAAATTGAAACATGCTCTCACAAGAGCATACTTTCAAAGTTGCCATATATTTTGAACGCATGTTAAAATTTCCTGTCAATAAGAGAATTACTGCATAACTAGAAATATATCCTTTCATCAAAATCATCAAACTCATTTCTTAACTCACTACATCTAACGGGGACTCCAACTAGCAAACACAATAAAGGCAAATCTATTGCCACTATGTCTGGTCCTAAAATTCCAACAAAAACATGTTCTAAATTTTAGCATACGACACCATACAAGTGAATTATCTGGTAGATATTTACTTATTGATGTTGAAGAAGCGAACAATGAAATTGAAAAGATAGATGAGATGATGTTCAAGATTTTAACAACGAAATAAGTGATTTTAAAGAAGAATTTCGTTAGATGTTATGTAATACAGCATTACAACACTTAAAATTATTGGAAAAGAACTTTCATATTTCGAACTTATTTTATAAATGATGACAAACTCTGCAACCATATTATACATAGTGGGAGTTATATGATTATCATAACTTAAGAGAATGATCACACAAATTTGAAAACTGAATTTCATCCGAAAACATATAAAATAGTATGGCCAGACAGGACAAGATTAAAGTGAGACAAAGATGTTTAGTTCTGGTTTAACTTTCTTGATATTTATGGCAATTAAATTCTTGTGAAGTTGCCTATGGATGCAGTGCACATTATCAAGGGAGGTCTTGGTTATATGATTCAAAAGTACCTCATTAAGAAAATTCTAATACGTCGGCTAAAAAGCAATAAGAGGAGAGAATTTTTAAGGCCAACTTAGACTAAAAAAAATTTTATTATATATCAAAAGAATCAAGTAACCCTATGAACTAAAGATATTGCACTAAGTATTTTGAGCCAGTGGCTCTAAAAATGAGAGTTGTAAAAAAGGATTCATTAATGCTTTGGCCACTATAGAAATAAAAGAAAATATAGCTTAAAATGCATGTATACCTAAGGTAGTTAGTCAAGTACAATATAAGGGATATATATTAAGGAACTTCTGATGAATTACAATTTCCTGGTTGAATGTAATTCTTTCAGGTCTATGGCAAATAGAGATTATAGCACCTCGAGTAAAATTATCTCTTTGTGCTAGTGCAAGGCCTGAACTTATATTTGGTGGCCCGTCTCCCTTGCTCTGTTGCTACTATTAAATTCAATTATTGATTTACTTGTATTGATTATTGTCAAACTAGATACAATCTAACTTTTTTATTATGAGTTAGTTTCCAATTGATCAACTAACAATTTATTATCCTGAATTTATATGCAGGATTTGTGCTTAGGCGACTATAGAAGAATCATTTATGCAGATTTTATATATTTATGTGTTTCAGATAAAGGGAACTATCAAGTATTTAGACTAAAAATTTGTGAAGGAACATTTTGACTTTTTTAATGAAATTATGCTCATCATTCTTAACTGCATTAGAAAACCCTTACACTACCTCCGAGATAAAACGTCTAAAATTGTCTCATACGTAAAGAACTAATTAAAGCACATCACATGACTTGGCACAAGTCAAAAGCACGCCCTCCTAAACTAACCATGTTTTAATATAAAATTAGTGTAAGTAATTATTGTACCATTGTGAATTCATGAAGTGACTACTTATAATCGACCATTAGATGATCCGATTAGGAGAGTAGATGTTTTAAATTCGACTTGTGTTAAGAAAGGCAGAGGTAGACCTAGGAAGACTTGGGCTTATTGTATTAAAAATGATCTTAATTTACTAGAACTAAATGAAAATATGACCCTTAATAGGACGCAATGGAGAAAAAGGATTCTTGTAGCCGACCCCACGTAGTGGGATTAAGGCTTTGTTGTTGTTGTTGTTGTTGTTGAAACTTTCCAGTACAAGGAGGCTGTTTCAAGATGCTATCCTGAGTTGCATACCTTTAAAGCCGTAAGAAAAATATATAACATGAAAATCACCTCACAAAGACAATGGAGAAATAATATGATAGAAACTTCAACAGAAATTAGGGCAAACAAAATATTTTATTTCACCAACACCAAACAAAACAACCTGAATACATAAAGATAAGCATCTACAATTCGAGAGGTAGATGATCTCTCCTAAACCCTAACCATAACCCTAACACCTACAAATGAGAGGCAAGCAATCTCTCCCAAAAACCTGACCCTAAGATTCAAGCAACAATCACACATGCATACCTTAACCAAAACCTATTAAACCATATTATACCTCATAATAATAACTAACAAAAGACTAAATTGCCTCATTAGCATTGAACCTAAAATAAGTCTTAAAATTATTTGGCAGATTCAGCGCGGCAGAGAGCGTTGTAGGTATTGATCTAGAATTTAACCCTGATAACAAGCTTTGATATAAATATGAAATTTTATGTACCCTTGCTATTAAGTTCAAGAAAAACCTAAGATTTGATATAAAATGTCCATCTATACTAACAGACTGCTTAACTATTTTAGATCCCCAAATTAACTATTCTAGCATCATTACTCAGCCTTTATCTTGTACAATCACCCGCTAGATTTGGATTCTTTTAACTACCAACACAATTGTTATCTTTATCCTTCCTTGTACCAAATAGACATGGAATTCCACTATGCATCATGGGTCGAGAAGAGATAATTTCCCTAAAAATTAATACAAAATATGTAGAAGGAATTAAGTCAAGCAATGAAACTACCAAAGTAAGAAATCCAGGCTTCAAACTAATATAAGAGATAAGTTCCCCAAAAATTTAAGTACGACATCCCCTAAATTAGTTTGGGCACTTGTACTACACTCAAATAAATTAAACATCCAAGTTGAATTTTGTGAGCAAAGAATAGTGATTTTGAGCAATGGAAATATCACATTCATAAATAAATCATTGATAAAAAATAGTTAAAACATGAAAAAGTCTAGATATCATTTATGCTAATAAGGAAAAATAATCTTATTGAAACAAAATCATGCAATTTGGTGTCATTGGGAATCACATGCAAAAAAACCTAACTAACAATAGAAACGTCGCAAGAGGAAGGTCCATATTATAGAGATATCATAAGAAGAGAAATGGCACAACAGTTGTGAATGAAAAACTTGCTACAATATCACATCACAAAGGGCATAATGTCTCGAATGGATTTAACGTTTTCATGGTACTCCATATTGGCACACTCATTCCAAAATTCCAGATACATCCCAGCAAGGCAAGAGAGAGGGAACAAATAGAATAAATAAATCTAAGGAAACTATTGGCCCTTTTAAATTTAACTGATGTGGAGATGTTTTCACTTAACAAATTGGTGAAGCAAAAGAGTAAATCAATAGGACTTATAAGGTGAAAGACAGTTGAGTTGAGCATTTCTCGTAGGACTGAAAGCCCAAAGTACTCTGTGATGGTTGACCACAGCTGACCAGAAGAACTGAGGGCAGCACTCTTCAACCAAAGTGCATCCCTGGTAAAAAAGTGTGGTATATGTTCTTCAAACTTCACATCATGCCCAATGAAGGCAACATGGAAGAAAATGAATTAGCAGCATATAAGAAAACAGAAGATGAAAATATCCCCTCACTAACCAAGCACTCATAATCCGGCAAACTAAACGTTATTCGGATAAAACTAACAGTTTCCATAGACTGAGAGCAATATAATTAAGCACATAAAAAGCATCACTAGATGAAGAACTTACCACACATATTTCGTGCTCGGGAAAGCAAATGCATTCCCCGCATACAGGAACCTTGTGCACGAAGCAATAAATCCGAGTTGCCTGAAATCCAGAGCATCCACATCCATTAGTAATCACTCAAATCCAGCAAACTACATTCAGCCAAATAAAAAAAAAATGAAAATTTCCTGAACCAACGCTTCACGATCCCTCCATGTGAAGTAAACCTCAAGAAGAGTTCAATTTCACCCAATCACCCAGGCAAAGACCCAACGAAGAAACTCCATAGACTACAAAGCAGAGCCGTTCAATCTACGATAGAAAGCACCAATCCCTTATTTCCCGAGGTCGGCAATTGTAGAGATCCACCAAAATTCGAATGCGATTTCCAAATCAAACGCATACATCTTAGTGAAGAATAATCTAAAGGCGTGCTTTCCAGTGACGAGGTCCGTGGATAGGATGCCTCAAAGACTACAAGAGAAAGAAGGCTAGAGAATCAGACGATCGAAAGTACCTTGCGGCATTTGCAAACCACCATGGCGCATCAAATCGAAATGACTGAAGCTGTGTAAGAGCAAGAGAGAGATCTGAAGACCAACAAGCAGCGGAATGTCGGGGATTGAGCACGGGAAAGACAAGGGACGAATTCAGTTTTGAGGTGCACCGAGCTCACGGGCAAGACAGATCTCAGCCGTCCGTGTTGGCCGGGACAGATGCTACAAGGCCCCCAAAATTCATTTGAGTGTTGGTTCTTATCAACATCAAGACTAAATAAGCCTAGAAACGAGTCAAAATTTTCGATCAAACTTTTTTCGAGTCGATCTAAACTGTTTGAAATTGGATTGTTAACAACCCTATTGATGTTTGGGTTGTGACTTTAACGAATTTCGCTTGAAGATCGCTAATCACTCAAAAAATGTTCTGAATTTTGATTCTAAAACAATTTATTTAAAGTTTTAAACATATAGAGGTATATAATAATTCATTTTCAAGTTAAAGATGTGGTCGGGGAAGGAGAATAATATGAAGGTCAATACAACTAATTTCATCATTCGTCTGAAGATTAATGATGATGTAATGTAAGCACAAGGAGATGATGGTCCATCTCTTTAGGATATGTGTATGGATAGTGTGAAGTTAACATATTATCAAATGAGAAGAAGAAAAGCTAAGAATCTTAGAAATCATTTAAGCAAGAAGTATAAGTTTATGACTTCATTACCTATTCCTCCAATTAAAGACAAGTAATTGTCTTTCTTCAAGGGTTGGATGCCAGGATTAAAAGACAAATTTAAAGAGAGAGACAGAGAAATAAGAGTGGTTAGTAAAAGCATAATATGATTTCAAGTGGTGAATACGCTTATGAGACGATTAGATGGTGTGTACGTATGTAGTATAATAGCCTATGGATAACCTAAGTTTTTTACTATACTATAAATTGCTCATTCTAATTTTAACAATTTCTATGACATGGATTCTTTGTGTTACTTAACAAAGAATCAAATATGATGCATCTCGAGACCTATGGATCAGATACGATTTGTTGAGTTTTGATGAGCCCGATCCACAGCCTCTAATTAGTAGTTTTGCATCTATAGAATGTATTTAATGTATTTAAATACATGTATTTCTTTCCCCGATTATGCTATCCTATCTTCATCTTCTGAATTTGCTAATTAAGGAAAATAATATTACTTCTAGAGCTGCCAAAAAGGCTTGTTGTTCGAGAACAGCTCGTGTTCGTCTCGTTAAGAAGCTCGTGATATGCCCGTTCACTAAGTTAAGGAGTCAAATACGAACAACACGAACCAATATTTGTTCCTTCATGTTCGACTCGTTTTGGCTCAAAATACTACTAATCAATTTTACATATATATACATATATATATATACACACACACACACCACTTATCTATGCATGAAAAAGTGTATTTCAGTTTTTAAAAGCTAACAATGGCAGTACTTTTGATGTAATGTGAAAGATTTAGGTGGCATAAATGTAAAAAGTATAAGTTTAGGTATTAGATATGTAAATATATAGGTGGTGGGTATATAATATGATGTTTTATCTACAAAGCATAAATGAAGCGCCTAAACATACAATGTTCCAGCAAAATAGGTGCTGAGATGACTCTGATCGCCGGGCATGAGCCTTGCGAGCCCAAAATCAGCAATTTTTGGCCTGAAATTGCTCACTCATGTTCGGCTCGTTTACACCCCTAATTACTTTCTGTTATTTTTGCTTGGCCCGAAATCTCGCTCTCCCGCCTTCCTCATGAATTTCACGAATTATAAAGCTGACGACATTATTGTGTCGAATTGTAGGACTTACTGTTCATTGGTTTTTTGTTTCTTCCTCTCGGTGCTTTAGCTTACGGAAGAAGAGCAATGTTGCATCGCAAAGTAAGGCTTCTCCTCCCTTTTGTTGCGGATTCTCCTTTGGTGGCTCACGGTTAGAGATAGAGTGAGACGAAGAGGAGAGACAGAGGAGAGAGACATATTTCTTGTTTTTCGAGGCGATCGAAGGTGTAATCTTTAATGCAATAGAATCCTTTGAAACTCCCGTGGACATAGGCAATTTGTCAAACTACATAAATCTGTGTGTTTTTCTATTTACGATTTTTCTTGTTCCAATTTTTCATTTTATTTTCGTTGTTTTTCACAACAATTGGCATCAAAACCAAGGTTCAGATCTGATGGAAAAGAGTGGCTGCATAAGAAGTAAAGGTATCAGGGATCGAGAAGTTTGAAGACACGAATTTTGGTTACTGGAAGATGCGAATAGAGGACTATCTCTATGACAAGAAACTTCATCTTCCACTATTGGGAAAGTGAGCAGAAAAGATGGATGAGGATGAATGAAATCCATTGGATCAGCAAGTTCTGGAGGTTATTTGATTAACTGTCGAGATCCATTGCACTTAAGTTATCAAGGAAATGACAACTGTAGAACTCATAGCTACTTTGTCAAGTATGTATGAAAAGTCATCAGTGAACAACAATATGCGTCAGATGAAAAAGTTATTCAACTTAAAGATGGAGGATGGTACGGTTGTTGGACAACATCTGAATAATTTTAACATTATCACAAATGAATTATTATTTTTTCAAATTAAATTTGATGATGAGATACATGCACTGATATTGTTGGCTTCACTGTCAAATAGTTGGGAAGCTATGAGGATGGTTGTTAGCAACTCTGAAGGGAAATCTAAGTTGAAATATGATGATATTTGTGATTTGATTTTGGCTGAGGAGATGCACAAGAAAGATTCTGGCAATACCTTAGGTTCGAGTTCAACACTGAATATTTATTCTAAAGGAAGATCATAGAACAGGAACTCAAACAGAGGAATATCCAGATCAAAGCATAAAGGCAAGAGGAAATCAAAGTCTGGTCAGTAAGCAATTTGTTGGAATGTGGCAAAACTGACCACATAAAGAAGAACTGCAAAAATATGAAGATGATAAAGAATGTCAGTGTTTATATTGTAATTGAAGGAGCACATGATGCATTATTGCTTGCACTTGACGGTTTTGTTGAGGACTAGATACTGAATTATGGGGCTTCCTTTCATACATCTTCCTACTGGGAGTTAAATGTGAAATTATGTTGCAGGTGGCTTTGGGAATGTATATCTGGCTGATGGAAAACCATTGAACGTGGTGGGGATGAGAGACGTTGACATTGCACTCCCTAACAAGAGCAAATGAATTTTACAAAAGGTTAGGCACATTCTCGAGTTAAAGAAAAATTTTATTTTTTTTGGGCAGTTTGATGAGTGTGGTCATTCAGTAATATTCTCAGATGGCACCTGGAAGGTCACAAAGGTACTGGCTCAGGGTAAGAAAACTGGTACACTATATATGTCTATTGGTTCAATTAACAGTATTGATATTACCGTTGCAGAGAGCACATCAGATTTGTGGCATTACAATCTTGACCACATGACTCAGAGGGGTATGAAAGAACAGTATAAAGGCAAACCACTAGAACTGAAGTCAATTTATCTCAACACGTGTGAGAGTTACATTATGAGGAAACATAAGAAATACAGTTTCTTGTAAAGAGGCAGAGTGCTAAAGGCAGAAAAACTGAAACTTGTACACACATATGTATGGGGACCTTCTCTAGTGGCATCTTTTGAAGGACCCGGTTACTATGTTGTGTTCATTGATGACCACAAAAGGAATGTCTAAATTTATTTCCTGAAGCATAAATATGATGTTTTTAATATTTTTAAAACTTGGAAGGCCATGATTGAGACAGAGATATACTTGAAACTGAAATGTTTGAGGTCTGATAATAGTGGTGAGTACATTGATGGTGGGTTCAAAGAGTAATGTGCAACTCAGGCTATCAGAGTGGAGAGATCATTCCTGGCACACCACAGCAAAATGAAGTTGCAGAATGTATAAAAAGGACCATAAATGAGCGGGCTAGAAGCATGAGATTGCACGTCAGACTACTACCAACTTTCTGTGCAGATGCAATCAACACTGCAGTTTAATTGATCAACATGGGGTCATTTGTTCTATTGTATTATGAATTGCCTGAGGAGGTCTGCAACGAGAAAGAAGTCAAATTTTCCCACCTTAAAACTTTTGGCTATCTATCTTATCTTCTTATTAATATTAATGCTCGCAGCAAACTTAAGGCTAAGCAAAAGAAATGTTATTTCATTGGCTATGAAAACGATGCATGCAGTTATCGTTTCTAGGATGATTAGGATCGGAATATCATAAGAAGTGGGATTTTGCTTTTTAATGAGAAGATTATGTACAATGAAAAGTTTAGAACAATTTCTTAAGTAGCTCTCCAGGAATCCGAGATGGTGAGGTTTGATGATCTACCAGAGGTCACAGTGTAGGGCAGAGATGGAAGTGATAAAGAGAGTAGGTCTGGTAAACTCATTCTTATCATTCCGTAGTGACTTTTAGAGTCGTCCACCCTTACAGCTACAGTTCGCAGGTCAGTCGAGAATAGACGTTCTCCTCAACATTACTACCAAGCTTGAACTACATTCTGCTAACAGACGGTGAAGAATCACAGAGTTATGAAAAAACCTTGCAATATGAAAATTCGAGCAAGTGGGGGCTGGCCATGAAAAATGAGATGAGTTCTTTACTAGAAAATCAGACATGAGAGTTAACAGAATTTCCACCAATGAAGAAGGAATTGCACAACAAGTGGATGTACCGGGTGAAAACTGAGCATGATGGCAGTAAGAGGTACAAGGCTAGACTTATTGTAAAAGACTTTCAACAAAGGTAGGGCATCGATTACTCTGAGATATTTTCTCCGATGATGACGCTCTATGATTGCTACCGAAGATCCATTCCTTGAGCACTTAGATGTGAAGATAACCTTTCTTCATGGAGATCTTAAAGAAGGCATCTACATGCACCAACCTGAGGAGTTTATGGTACAGGGAAAGGAAGATTCAGTTTGCAGACTGAAGAAGAGCCTGTTTGATCTGAAGCAAGCTCCTAGACAGTGGTACAAGAAATTTGATAATTTTATGCACAATGTACGGTACACGAGATGTCATGCAGATCGTTGTTGTTATACCGTCCATTTTGACAATTCATACATTATTCTATTGTTGTATGTGGATGACATGCTATTTATAGGAGCTAGTATTGATGAGATTAATAATCTAAAAAGTAGATGTCATAGCACTTTAAAATGAAAGATTTGGGAGTTGCAAAGC